GCCTAGGGAGGTTGGGTGGGTGCAAAGCAGGTTGAGAACTAAGCTGTGGTTTGAGTTTTTGTAGAAATACATAAAGAGAAGGTTACACGATTGACTGGAACTGGAGTAGAAAAGAAAGCAATGGTAGCCTTTAGTATGGTGGTTAGGTAGTGTCTCTGTGAGTTTGAACTCGAGTCCCTTGTACTCTGTGTTCCCAGGAATCGCGGGATGTGTATCTTACTTCCAGTCCTGATCCATATGATTGTGACGGTACCGGTTTTCTTGGCGGGACCCGCTGGTGGACGCACGTTTTTGATTGAATTTGTGACGAATTGAAATGCTTTTCTCGATCATTTTCGTTCGCTTTTTCCCGGTTTTATTCCAGTCTCCAGATGCATGAAAGTTGGGAGCAGAGATTCTACAGGTTGGACTGATGATTGACAGTTTTGTATGCGGCGGTATGCTGTTAGAGCAAGACGCAAACAGCAATCAGGCGCGATGATAAGAATCTGCTAATCGCTTGAATGAGTATGCGATTAGCGAAGGTCTCGATGCGCAGAATCTGCTAATCGCTGTTGTATGAGTACGTGATGAGCGAAGGACTTAGGTTGGCATATGGCATTCGCGGTTTACTACGAGGATCTCTACTGTAGTTTGTCTGTTAAATTCAGATGGATTAGTCAGCAGATCTTACGGCCACGGCTCTGTTTTTTTATTTTTTTTTGGGTTTTGTGGCATGGCTCCCGTGAGTCCCGTGTAATGCGAGGCTATGGCTGAGCGGTCGGAGATTGACATCTGACTGAATGTTCAGTTCCATACCCTGGAGTCGGCGCAGAATTGGGCCACAGAGGGCGGAAATTGATCGTAGGAGGGGAGATAGGTGCGAGGAGAGTTGCCCTAAAGAGACGAATTATAGGTCTTGTTGACTATGCGTTCTCTGAGTGATGGAAGACGTTGAGGTCGGTAGCAGTTTGTGTGTTTTGAGCAAACGGCCTCGCGTGATTTTCGGGCTTTTCCTTGCCCAAAAAGGTGGATCTAATGCATGTGGTTGAGAATGATGTACTGTGGTCAGCGTGGTGATATTGTGAGTGAATTCAAACCAAGGGGTGGGACTAGGGCGTTGGAGAAACGTGAAGTGACATCGACAAACACTGTGGGAGAAATGTAAAGAACCGTGCGTCGATGTGTGGTTGGTTGTCATAACAATAAGCCGTCAGGTTTCAATTGTGATGGAAGACGTGCTGTATTTTCACGTGTTTCATTCTGTTTGAAGCGTTGCTGTATTTTCACGTGTTTCATTCTCATTCTGTTTGAAGCTGTGAGGTCGGGGAGACAGTTTGCTTGAGGAGTAACCTTGTCCTTGCAGCTTGGTTGCCATGTATGTTAAACGGGTGGCATCTTCTGAACAAGGACTGGACAGGACAGGGTCATTGGTAGGGGGTAGTGGACGTCGGAAGAGCCTGCTCGCGCACCTTGACCAAAGAGACTACTGTTCAGTATAGTAAGGGGGGTTTGTTTCTGTCAGTTTCTCCTGAGGGGCCCTCCATGGTCCGATTTGAGGTTGTTGAAATTGGTAATGGGGTGTTGTGCTTGCGAGTTTGTCGGGGGGGATAGTTGGAGTTCCGAAAACCGGGCTAGAGGTCTTTTTTTTTTGTTTTTTGTTTTTTTAATAGAGGTCATATATTGCCATATGGGAAATAGCCTAAAAAATAGGCTGGCATCGGGGCCTCCTTTTTTTTTGTCCGTCCGGTTTAGTATACCCGTTCCTCATAGTCCCCTGTCCATCCAGCGGCCTAGCTCAGTTGGTAAGGCATGCAAGTGCCATTCAGGAGGTTTTGGGTTCAATCCCCATTGGCCTCATGTACCTTCTTGGGCATGCTTGGCGCCCGCCACCTAGAGATAGCACGTTGGTCCCCCCAATTGGCATTGAAAAGCAGTCGCTGCTGATGTTCATAGGGGGAGGGGTAATCGGGGAGGCACAGCGACTGGCCACTCAGATGATGCTCGGTCCCTCTGCCGCCGGCTGTCCCCTGGCCGGTGTCCCCTGTTGAGGGTTCCCTGAAGGCCACCCTGGGCTGGAAAGACCACCCGATGTCAGATTAGACACAATATTGAATTTACCTGGGCTGGTTAGTCCGATTACTTCAAGGCCNAGGGGTAATCGGGGAGGCACAGCGACTGGCCACTCAGATGATGCTCGGTCCCTCTGCCGCCGGCTGTCCCCTGGCCGGTGTCCCCTGTTGAGGGTGTTCCCTGAGCGCCCCCGGGCTCGAGAGACACCCCGATATGTCAGATTACACACTATTTAATTTTCCCGGGCTCTTTATTCCGCTTTCTCTAAGGCCCTATCGCCCTTTAAGAAAAAAAAAAAAAAAGCCCTGTCCTCTCTCTTTATTCTCTTTTTTTTTTTTTTTTTTTTCCGTCCGGTGTGTCTACGTGTTCCTCAACCCCCCCTGTCCTCTCTCTTTTGTTTTGTCGTTCTTCTCCTCGCTCTTCGTTGTCGTTAAGTTTTCTGCTTTGTCACAAAGGCTTGCAGACAGAGGGTGTATGGGGTGACCCCCGTGACGTGACTCGTATAACAGGAGTAGCAATCAGTACTGCCTCAACCATCATTCATGGAGCTTGCAAGAAAGTAGAAGCTGGAACTGACTTGGTGGAAAGTTGCGTTTCTTCTCTATGGTCTTGTTACTGATATCGCATTGGGTAGTTGAACCGTAGTTCACCGTTTTCAGAGTGATAGTACTCCTCCGCAATGTAGTGTTTGATGGCACGGATAACAGGCGGGGGGGAGCCACACCTGGTGCAAACTGGAGAGAGGGTCCCTCCCATTCATAGCTGGAGGGGAAGAATCTAGAGGGTTGTTTGTAGCAGTGTAGGTGCAAAGAGGGGAAGAATCAATCTGGAAGGTTGCAAATGGATGGGGGTTAGGAATGAAATAGGAATGAGATGCGTTGGGGAACTAGGAAATAAGCCAGGGTGGGTGCAGTCGAGGACGCATAGGTTGAGTTGGTGCAGTGATTGATGGCTCATTTAGGGCCAGATCCCACGAGCCAAGGAGATTGGACTAAGCGCCTGAACCTGGATGCAATTTATATGGAGATGCAGAAAAGTGGAGCCATAGCAATGACCTTGTCTCCTCAAACATGTCCAGATTCAGGTTTTCAATCCAGTCTCTTTGCTAGTGGGATCTTGCTGTTATTGGTGTGTGTGGGAGCCTGCACCAGCTTTGAGCCGGTTCCCTAGGTCCATTTTTGGAGAGCATGGGACTTTTTTTTTTTTTTTTTTTTTTTTTTTTAAATGTCTATGCAGCGTTCTTAGAGGTAGGGTGTGTGAGAAAAATGGTGGCGAATTGGTTGGGCCCCTTGGGGGCAGGTATGGGATAATGGGAGGTGTCAGGCAACTAGGAAGTAAAAGCCTGTTTGAAGGATAGGGATGTTCATAGAGTTTTCTGAGAGGTAGGCCTGGTAGGGTGTGTGAGAGAAAAGGGACTGCTAATTACTGATCCATGGTTCACTTCCGGTCATGTCATAGAAGGGCTGGCCAAACTGAGAAAGGTGCATGTATCTATTGGGAGAGTGGAGGTGTTTGATCCATGGTTCAGTTCTATTTAGCTGATAGAATGGGGAATCCTTGTTCTAAATGGTTTTGCTCCACTTTCATTTGGAGCTGCTGTAACTTGGGTTAATGTCTTATGTTAACTGGTTTGAAACGAAAAGCTCTTACGGCAGGTGTCTTTTCATTACCTTATATGTGCTATCGTTGTTTTTTTAGTTATGTTATGTCATGCTATGTCATCCCATGTTAGGTTGCATCCCCATATACTTTGTTGCTCATTACAAGTTATGTTGTATGACATTGTGGTATGGTATTAAACCTCAGATACGTGTTACGCTACGTTCACTACGTTTGTCATATCATCACTACGCGTCTCATGCTATGTCATAGCATGTTACATTGCATTATGTTATGCTTTCTTGCTCATCACATCTTGTTACCTTGTGTGACGTTGTTGAATGTTATAAGACCTTACATACGTGAAGGTACACTACATATGTCATGTTGTGTATCATGTTATGTGACATTACACTACATTTGTTAGGTATGGTGTAAAACCTTACATATGTGAAGGTACACTACATATGTTATGTTGTATATCATGTGATGCGACATTACACTACATTTGTTACATGTCCTTCTGCCTTGTTAGGGAGCATTCCGTTTGCTTTATGTTTTTGTATGTTATGCGACGCTCTGTTATGTTGCCTTGTATTGCTATATATTACGTCACATTACATTTTGTTACGGTACATAACGTGACTCTACTTGTGTAATATGTTGTGTTGCTTTATGTTGTGTTTTATGCTGATGTTTAGCATGGTATGCTGTGTTGTCTTGGGTTGCGGTTTATTTCATCGAGTTAAACCACTAATACCTTTGGCGTCCGGTTTCGACAAAAAGCTCTTGAACTTTTAGGAGGCCGGGCCCGACAACAGCTCTGTTGATAAATCTGATTGGCGGCCGTCGTTTCGTTTCGGCCTCCTGAAAGGTCGGAGGCCCGCTATTTTCCGAATGATAAAGGTACTAGTGGTTTAATGTTAGATGCGATATGCTGTGCCTTATATTATGTTATGTTACAATGTCACATAGGCTGGTCTATGTGCAAGAACATAATAACGAAAGGAGTTTTTATCATCCTTGTTTTTAGTGTCGAGTACGAGGAAGAACATAATAATGAAAGAAATAACTTTTTTATCCTTAGTTTTACAGTGTGCCTAATTGTTGCATCGCATTTGTTACATTTCTTTGTATGTTTTGCAGAGCACTGTTCGGGTAAAGGCACTCAGCTCGGAGCGTATCCTAGTGTCGAATGTCATGTATGCAAATCTAGTTAGGGTAGTGCGCGTTCTTATTCGCAGACGAGAGGTCGTTCGGGTATCTCCTATGCTCAAGATTCAAATGCACAACCGCTGGGCGAGTGCACAAATCCAGGTAAGGAAACGGGCACACAACGAAACTTGGCTCTTGCAGAGCATGGGATCTCAACGTGTGTTGTTTTGCATGGATGTTTTTTGATTGCCAATGGATTAACGAAAATACATTTGTCTGCAGGATTGGCCCCCCTTCCCCCCCCCCCCTCCCCTACAATTTTGAAATGCTACCAGTCCCTAACAGTATTGTATCCATCATGACTTGAACTCGGTCTTTTGAGAAAGAACTTCATGTGTGTACCATTCAGCCACGAATGTCTTTTCACCGACTGCCAAAAGGCCCAAAAGTGAGTTTTTTTCACCGGCTGCCAAAAGTGAGTTTTTTTCAATGGATAACAAACCGAACTCATAATGGCTTTTAGACTTTTAGTCCATTAGTGCAATTTGCTTTTATTTTATTGATTCTTTTTCTGATTCTGAACTTACACCCTTTCTTCCACAAATTCGTCTTTGTTTATGTGATTAATTATTAGTTCAATTTTGCTGTGATTTTTTTTTTTTCAACCTGGAGGGTTTTGATAATCAAATGCTTGGCAATTGTTTGTTTAATGAGTTACACAGACAAATAAGTGATGTAGCAGCAGTTAAACGACATTACCTTTCACGTCATCTTTTTTTGTATTCAAGTTCTTTGCTATTGTTGTCTTATGAGCATGATTCTTTAGCTTTACAGTTAACAAGTTGTTTTGTGGTGACGTTTGCTCTCTGCACGATCCGTATGGCATCGCGTACGCGGCTGTAGTATGGGAGGGGTTCTGTTGTTGTTTTTATTTTTTTTCATCTTCTTTTTGGATGTTGGTTAGTGTCTGTGCACCCTGTTACCTGAAATCAGCCGAAAAACGAAGTCTCAAGTCTCAAGGGCGATTTCTTGTATACAGGGTGTGTGGCTTAGAACATCCCTGCTCACCATTTTTTAATGTTTATATAGCCCCTGGATAATTAAAGAAACGAAAAGCACAAAAATGTATTGGCGCATGCGTGTTGTGTTGTGTGTGTGTGTGTGTGTGTGTGTGTGTGTGTGTGTGTGTGTGTGTGGGTGTGTTCTTTCCGATCACACACACACGCACACACACACACACACACACACACACACACACACACACACACACACAGGCATATTGCTGTTGCAGTGAATTGTTTTTTCCTCTAAATAATTTTAGTAATTACCCCTTTTCTGTTTATATTTTTTTCTCATATTGTAAAGATTTTGGGGTTGGTGGTCAGACAAATATCGCTAGGCTGCCAATGCACTAGTCTGCCAATGTTCCTCAAAACGGATGTGGCCAAGCATGGGGTTCTGTATGCAGAATATCCGTACGTTATGTACGGAAAGGCCCCGTTCGTGTACGCGCGACAACAAGATTATATCTCCTTTCGTTTGGGTTACATTTTTTGATCTTATATAACTGACCCTTTTGTTTTTTTTTTATTGGATAACAGATGTGAGTTTCTGATGGAATAAAACACCAGGTCTTAAGTTTCTTGGTGGCGCAGTGCTACGGGGAGTGTTGCACCGCTGAAATAGCACTCCGCTGAATAATTTGTCACTGGAGTGTGACATGGTGTGGCTGAGGCAAGTGTGCTGACGATGCAGTAGCTGGTAGTGAGACTGGACCGTGGAATGGGCTGCTGTTGTTCAGCAAACACCTGTCACGATGCTGGCAGGTGTGCGTCTTCAGTGAAGATAAGCATGGCGTTGGCGTGTATGCAATAGGTCCTTGTGTGCCTTCACAGGATGTTTTTCTGGCCCTTGCTTGTTCTCTGGCGTCCGCGGAATCATTTGTGGCTGAAGCATGACATGGTATGGCTGAGGCAATTGTGGTGGGGACGATGCACGGTGCTACAGTAGCGGGCCCAGGAAGACTGGAGCGTGAACGGGGGGGGGAGGGAAACGATGGCGGGAGAAACGATGGCGGGAGGCGTGTGTCTTCGGTGAAGATGAGCATGGCGTGCATGCAATAGGTCCTTGTGTGCCTTCGCAGGATGTTTTTTGGGCCCTTGTTCTCTGACACTCGTGGATACTTCACGGTGACACGGAGCTTTGTTTGTGCCGCCTTCGTCTTTTTGAGCCTTAATTTTGTTGCTGTGCAGAGGGTGCCACCCGTATCGTTCAAGGTCGCTGCCTTGTCCCGGCTTTCGGGGTTCCGGTGTCTCTTATAATTTTCCTGCTCGTAACCGCTGGTGTTTACTGCATGTCTGAACAACCTGTGAGGTCTCTCGTCGTCAGCGGGGGTGTTTACTGCATATGTCTGAACAGCCTGTTGTCTTCGTCGGTTGATCAGATGTGAAAGCTGGCCTGTGAGGTGAAGGGATCATTAAGATGTTCTCTTGCTGATGGAGCGAGGCTGTATTTCGACAGAGGGAAAGGGGGGGTAATATGATGGAGCAGCTGGCCCGAAAGGTGATGATATGTTCTCTTGTTGACGGAGAGGGGGAATGGCTTTCGACAGAGGAATAGTAGGCGGGAGCGGTCTGGAGTGGGACTGAACGAGATGTTGCCTGGTCTTGTGTTGATGAGTCGAGATGGCGGCGATGTGGTAGCTTGGATTTGAAGCCCGTCCTTGCTGCTATGAAGACCAACGACGGGGGGGGCATTATGAAGAGCTTGTGAAATGATCCGCCGGAATCTTCTTTAGTTGAATACGAAACCATTTTTTTTTATTTTCTTGTGTTTGTTATCATTTGATTGGAGTCGCGTCAGAATCTATGGTAAATTCTTGATGGCGGTTGTCGCATTTCTTTCTGCGTGATCGGTCAAGGTAGTCAGTCATTCACTTTTGAGTTGTCGGAGAAATACATGCCACTTGTTTTTGTGTTCGCACTGTTCTCAGTATAATTTAGGTTCTGATCTTAATCTCTTGCATATTATCTGAATAATATCCGATTCGATGCAATTTATCTTCTATATATGTCTGTCGAGTTAGGTTCTGATCTTAATCTCTTGCATATTATCTGGAAGAATATCCGATTCGATGCCATTTATCTCCTATATATGTCTGTGGAGAGTTGATCTCCTGACCGTATGATCCTTTCTATTGTTTTCTTCACTTTTACTGGCAGTACCTGATTAGTGATAACCATGATATTACTCTCTATTTTCTGACATCTCTGCCATGAATAATCATCTATTTCTTAACGAGGATCCAACTATAAGGTTTCAAAATGGCAATCTGAATTTTCAGGCTGTTGTCACCGACCTGTCAGCGTAACTTCAACAGTTCTTGTCGTTTGACATTTGGGGTCGTTGTCATGTCGATAGTATTAGGTGTGGATGCATTGGGGTGATTTCCAGAAGAATTAGACGATGATGGGCCGCCATTGATTGCCCCTGCTTTGGTTGCGGCCAGTGTTGCCTTGGCCCAGCTTACCTCTCCCCCCTTGTTAGGGGGTCAAGGGTTGGTGTTCAGGGTTGTTAACTTGTTATCGTGTCGATCGTACTGCCCTGATGTGGTGATTTCCAGCAGAATTAGACAATCATGATGGCCCCTGCTTTGGTTGTGGCTCGTTGTTGTTTTGGCCCAGCTTACCTCCCCTTGTTAGGGGGCAAGGGATAGGGATTAAGTGCTATGAGGACGTTGCTGTTCTTGATGCGAAGAGGAGGCCGCGTGGTTTTTGGGAATGCTGTGGGGTCTTTTAGGGCCGTCATTTGGGAAGCCGTGACCGGGCCGTCACAGCGTGGGGGCTTATAGGAGAATCACAGAGGGATGTTTGTTCTGGTGCGGTAATCCTCGTCCGCAGTTATTCAAAATTTCAAATACATATATTTTTTTTTTTTTTGGAAGTCTTCAGCCGAAGCCAGGTAATGTCCCCGGCATCTGAATTGTTCTGTGTGATTTCCAAAAGGGACACTGGGCCCGGTTCTCAGCAGGTGTTGCTCCCCACAGGTAGATTGGAGCATTGTTAGAAAAGAAAGTTTCTTCATGGCTAGCAAACCGTCATCTTTTTTGTTTCTTTTATCCCCCTTTTCCTTTGGACCTTTTCTTGATTTTAATCGTTAATGTTTGTCACCCTTCTGCTGACCTTCTTTGTATGGTTCCGATTTTTTTTTTTTTTTTTTTTTTTTTTTTTTTTAAGCTTTATATGGATGTCATGATCAACACCGTATTTTTTTGGTTGATAGCAAACTGCATTTTTTTTAATTTTTTTTTCTAATGGCTACGAGTCGTCATTGTTTTGACGGATAATAAACCCAATTTTTTCCATGGACAACAGGTCTGAATTTTCTATTTTCTGAAAGCCAACAAATCTGAAGTTTTTTAATGGCTAACGATTTGGAGTTATAAATCCACGTTTTTCAATGGATAACAAATCCACACTTTTTTATGTTTTTTTTTTTTTTTTTTTTTTTGATGAAGGCTCATGAAGGGTAGACGAATGTTAGTAAACAGATCACGAGGTCGATTCGTGGTGACACTAGCTAGCTGGATACAATTAATATACTGTTTAGGTCCTTATGACCTAGTACTCCCATTGTTTATCTTTTCTAAGTTCTCTTTAGAAATGACGATTGGCAAATCTACGCTTGTCGGTTGCTATCATCCAGTTTTTTTTGTTTTTTTTTTTTGGGTAAACAGTAGATGCGGGATGTTATTGAACAGATTATGCGCTCGATTCCCAAATGGAATCAGTGGGATACGATACTCTTTTCAGGACCTTCTCTTAACTTTTTTTTTTTTTTTTTTATAGAAAATACCAAATCTACACTAAGTCCTGTCTGTTGCTATTATCCAGAGTGTTTGTCTTATGACTGTTGGAGCATACCCACTACAGTAACTTGTGTTTGTTGGTGTGTGCCGCCTGCAGGGTGATAACTGCAACGACACCGAAATTGTATACAAGAACTTGATTTATGGTACGAACCAGCTTCTCGCGCTATCGGACACCGGTATCGACATGAATGTAAGTTCCATGCAGCCCTCACTCCCAGTTCCGATCTGTTTGGCCCTCGCAGTTCGGAGCATGTCCTTCAATGCCAATGTGAGTCTGATGCGGCATGTACACACAAACAATAGAAAATACTGGAATAGGAAACTACAGCACTTGAATGAGGAGGGAAGCTTTTATTGCAAAGGGGTTACCGTATCAAATGTTGAAATGGATGCCTAATTTTTGAAGATGGATCAGACATCGCTCCTTTATTTTTTTGGACAGGAGGCGGCGGCCGTTTGGTGAATCAGATTTGCATTACAAGGAATCATTGCAACTCGTGGGCGTCTTGTGAGTGCGCTTGGTAATCATGCTGTAATGGTCCCATGTCCTCTTAAGTAGAGGACCGCACACAACTTTAAATAATAATTCAGTCCTTCGGGACATCCATTAAAATTGGAACGATACAGAGAATGAAGATTAGCATGGCCCCTGCGCAAGGATGACAGGCATAAATCGAGAAAAAATATTTCATAAGTTTGACCTGACATTTGAATCAAAAGCTTTTGACTCGGCATGTGAATTGACACTGTGATCAATTCCATGCCCTGGAATTGAACGATCATCATGATGCTGATCTGTTCCACTTTTACGAGAGCATATTACTCACACAATGGGAACATTTCTCAGACGGTAATGGCAGATGGCAGATGGACAGATTCGGCGTCTTTTCAGACACAAAAGTCCTCAGGCTGGTGTTTGGTTTGTTTGCCTTTAACTCAGTTTTTAACTGTCCTTAAGGCCCACGGGTGTCAGCATGAAACCCACACCACTTCGGAGGCCGCCACTTCGTTTTTCCAATGGCCCCATTTCCGTTTGGCGCTTCCGAGTTTTTGCTTGTGGTGACAAAAAACTTCCTGCAAGGCTGTGGAGTCTGTGGCTGTGTACTAGTGGCTTAAACGTACTATGTTGGATCTTCAGCCAGAAAGATGGCATGTGTGCGCTCCGACAATCATGAGGAAAAGTAGTGGTATGGGATGGTCACCCTGTCAGTCACGGTGGAGAGTCTGCAGACCAATAGGAGGGAGTTCAGAGGAGGAATTGTGTCCATGTCGGTGGAGAGTCTGCAGCTGAAGGGCATGTCCCGGTCGAGTTTGGTGTCTGATTATTTCTCTCCTACTTGCATCAGTCCCTTCCTTTGTCAACGTTCTCCTATGATGAAGAGGAGGGTGACCTCGTTCCCACAATCCAGTAATGAAAATCTTTCCCGCACTCCTAATTAATACACACAAGCTGATTATTTTGTGGTTGTCATTCTAAGACTTCCATGCGGTGGTTTACATTCTTGCATCATGATGACTGACTGGTTACTCAGTGGGCCACTGCATTCTAAGACTTCCACTCGGTGGTTTACATTCTTGCATCATGGTGACTGACTGGTTACTCAGTGGGCCACTGCAGAGGTATTTACTTTCCAGCAATCTGATATATGGTGACTCATCGTTGGTCGTTGTGCTGTCTGTCGCTCAATTCTCTCTCCCTCCCTCCCTCCCTCTCTCTCTCTCTCTCTCTCTCTCTCTCTCTCTCTCTCTCTCTCTCTCTCTCTCTCTCT